ATCACTATTTATGAATAAGCAGTAACTATGAATAGCATTATTCTAAGCTTAATAGTTATTCTTTGTGCTTTCAATTTGTAATTTCCTTTCTCGATTTGGGGAAGACTACCTAAAAGTTAAAACAAAATTGCTTTGCTCATGCACTTGGAAATTTCTTTTTTTCTTTCTTTTTTTTTTTTTTTGCTCCCAAAGAAAAATTATAAAAATAAATTAATTTGAGTCAACAGGAAACATTCATGGGTACTTTTTCATGGTCAAATAAGATACCAACCTAGACTACACAAAATTATTAACATTAAACTGAGTAAAGACAATTAAATTATCTTTAATATTTCATTTGGGAAGAATTTATAAAATATATATTGACTTGTATGATTAAAAATGATGTTTGACTATTAATAAATGATTTATAAAATTTGTAAAATCGAGGTAAATTATAGTTTGTGTTCTACTGCTACTATGGACAGGTTTTGCTATGATTTAAAATTCAAAGCAGGAAAGAATCAGAGAGAAAAAAAAAAACAAAAATCAAGAATCCGTTTACAAGAACCAAAAGGACAGGAGATTTTGAATGTATTCCGACATATTTGTTGAGGAAAATAATGGACAATGAAATTAATATTTGGAATATAAGTTTTTTATTCACGCAATACAATAATGATGAAAGATTTTGGTTTTATTTTTTTGGAAGTATTCATTATGGAATGATTCCTTCAATCCTGTAACGAGGAAGAGCAGAGGAAACGTCTTGTCCCTTTGTCTTATAATACTCGCAATATTCCTTGAATAAGAATTCTCTGTATATGGTTGGATTCTCATCAGACAGAATTTCTTTTATAGGTGCAAATGGCTTTGCTCCTGCTCTAAGACTTGGGTAGAAGAAGCATGCAACTGAGATCCTCGGCCCGACCGATTGAGCCAATACTCTATGCTCCACACTTACGGACTTGTCATTGCTTATAATCTGAAACAACGGAAAGGGAAATATTCAATCAATTAATTAGTTTCCAAGGCACAATAAGACCTATTTAAAATCTTACCAATT